GCCGATCTTTCCATTCTTGGAGTAGTGCCCGAATGATTTCTCGACTTCGACGATTATGTTTGGACGAATGTCAAGACCAAAACTGGTACGTGGCGTTTATTAACAACCAATGCATATCTAGACAATTAATTTTTTTTTATTGCAAATCCGTTCTAATTGTTCCGGTCCAAGTCATTTTCAGATTATCATGAAATATTTACTAATTATCAATTTGAGGGAAAAAATCATCCAGATAATCAATTATCAAATTTTTTCACATATCATCGAGATGTTAAAAAGAATCGGATGTTCTTCAAATCTATTTTAGTCAAGATCAAGCATCCTCATCCTCAAGGGTTGTATAATTCTATAAGAAGGATTTTTCTTCATTGATAAGACAGACAGCCTTCCTTACGTTACGAACACAATAGGCATCCAAAACATTCGGAATTGCATGTTACGTAAACCGTTCAAGTCCAGTTCGAGTCCGTCCACCGAGGTGCCGTTGAATTTTAAATATCGAAGACCCGTTTCCAACCTGTGTTCTGAAATCACTAAAGCACCTCTTGGCTGATCTACTTTTCTCACTGTATGAAACCACATTGAAAAATACAAAGACGCGAATGTCTTAGTAAAACCGGAAAATTCCATCGGTGTCATCAGTTTCCTTGGAAGAAATTACCGGTTTAGAATTGTTGACTCGTTTTAGAAAGTTTTCCCACTCGTTACATAGTAAAGAAATGTCTCGGAAGAAATGAAATTGTTTGATTTACGATCATCCGGGATCGAAAAATATTTTTTAAAAAAAAAATGATGGATTGAATTAAGTTTTCAGATTATTATGCTTAATAAGTACGATAGAAAATGGAATTATCGTGTAAGGACAATGTATCAAGTGGAAAGGTGTTCTCCCTCTCGACGAGTTGGAATAACGCCCACGACGACCCACGTCGCGATGACTGTTCGCATGATTTTACCTGAGACACGGGTTCTGCGTGTAGGCAGGCCAAAATCACCACCGAAACTTGTGACTCATGGATTTTGCGATTCTTCCGAGCAGATTTATTATAAGCTACAGAATGCTTTCTAATTCATGGATTGGATTTATTTCTTCTCCACTGAATTTTATGAATATTGATAATTAATAAAACCACTTCTTTTTGCTTTATTGATAAAAGAGATGACACTCCCGGTGATGAAATATATTGAAATATATCGAAGAAATTTGTCTAATTTTTAAGATAAAACATAGAGGATTTATACATATATGAATGGAGGTAGGAAGCAAAATCATTTGTAGCAAAACGGACCAACGTCCTCGACCTGATCGCGGAGGTGGCTTCCACAATCGTGTATGGACATGAAACGTGGTTCACCTGGCGCGCAGAAAGAATTCCTGTTCACCTACTAACACACTCCAACGATTTCACACGAGAACTTCAATTAATATCACGAGACACGACCAAGAATTGACCAAAGTCGATCATTTTAAATCATGGCACATTAATTTCGACGAATTAATTTTTTAAAGCAAAACACCTTTGAATAAACAGTCTTTGTATTCCATTAAACTGATCAGACACATAAAATGATTCACTTTCCAAATTTGGTTTTTTCCAAAAGAAAAAAAAAAAAAGTGAAAATTAATAAAATCAAATATTTTCACCCGAAGACTACTTCATCTTGGATGTCAAGACCAATGAAGTGTTTTGGTACATATGATTCAGTACATTCAATCTATAGTTCTGTTGGCTGATCGAAGTAATGGAACGAGCAGAATGCAAGCAGGCTGGTTTTTCTTGCCCACCAAGTGGAGGGAGGGACGTGAAGAAGCCGTGAAGTGGGATATCGTAATGACCTCCACCTCCGTATTTCCAACTATTTTCGATACACGTCTCAGCTAACTTTAGCGTTTTCGTTAGTCCAGTCTTTGACTTTGAGCTCTCAGCTCTCCACTAAACATTCTCTTATACTTATACTCTCCATAGTTCCTGTGTAAACTCCTGTGAGATCATTTAATTACTTCCGCCATTGTCACAACAATTCTGTTTAAAATTCAAAATCTTTTTACTACTTCGGAATAATTAATCCATGTGAAACAAGTTTCAGCGTGATTCAATTCAACGGTGAAAAATGTGTAATGTGGAGAAAAGGTCGTTTGTGTAAGTTTAAAATTTTAAATTGATTTAATTCTATGCAACAAGATTTGTAAATGTGTCTGGCCAATTTTTATTTTTCCAAATATGATTATGATTATTTTCTTGAGACAGAGAAACGAGACAATATAACTGAAATCGGATGGACAATTTTCTTTTCCACGACACAGGAGAAGCCATTTATATAATGCTTGCCGACTATTTCGAAGATGACACTTAAAATTAACTTAGTGGAATATATTTATGCGTTCACTGGAATACATACATAATATGTGGGAACTATTTTAGAAAGTTACTGCCTTTTTTCGTCGGTCTTCAATTGTCATTCAATGAAATACATTCCAACGATTCTTGGATTGTCTACAATTCTACTTCTGCCATCATTAATTTTCTTTTTATTCTATTTATTTTGATTCTTGAAAAATTTATGAAACAGAAAAAGCCTGAATTTCCTTAGTTTTGCAGTTTTGTTGGATGTAATCTGAGTGTGAATTAATTCGAGTATTCTTTTTATTGTACAAAGGATGATTTAACACTTTTCAGATGCTTTAATGAGCAACAGGTGGTCGGAAGTTTCTTTGAAGAGAGAATTTCACTGGAAATCACTTTTAATATTTAATTTTTGCTTTTAAATTACCAATTAACCAATTCAATAATCTTGTAACAATTAACTATAGTTACTTGAAATCATTTTTCTATTGCTTTTCATATGTTCTTATCAAATTTATATTTAATATTGTTAATATTGTAAAATAATTCTGAAACGAAAACAGATCTTTGTTTAAGAAAACTTAGGAAGTCAATAAGCAACAGAATCGGATTCATCATTCATCAGAAAAATCGTTGACACATATTTATCTTTCACATTGTAATATCAAATGTTCATACCATGTTTAGAGAAATTAAACTTATCAAAACAAAACGGCAAATGTATTTTTCCTTGATGATTCGTTCATATTTCGTTGCGTGCTTGTCAATTGATTTGTTAATTACTATAACCATTTCTTTGTTTCACAGGTGGTTACCTAAGCCCTAACATCCGAGCGTGAATATTGTGTGAACGATGGTTGACTATTACAAAGTGCTAGAAGTGCAGCGAACCGCCACGAGCGGAGATATCAAAAAGGCGTAAGTAATAACATAGTGAAAATGATGTCAAAAAAGTCCAGCTCCTTCAACAGAAAGTTGTAGTAAAGTATTTAAATATTTACTTGAAATTTTCTTTCTTCTTAATCTAATTTTCTTATAATTGGCTGAACAATTTTGTGTAAAATTCGTTGTTGCAAATCATGATTGATGTTTGCCTTTTAAGAAAATTTTATATTGAAAATAAGTTAAAATGTTGATGCTATTTTATTTTATAAATTGTAAACGCAATGCGTGGAGAAAGATTGAATGAATATCTTTTTACTTCTGTTGAAACAACTGGCAATGATCCAAGAACCGTGTTCTTAGTTCTTCTTAGTTCAAAAAGTCAAGAAACTTTTTTTACAATAGAAACATCCTTGAAACGTTAATTAAATAAAGAAAATTACTTTACAGATATAGAAAATTGGCGCTGAGATGGCATCCGGATAAAAATCCTGAAAATTTGGAGGAAGCAAACAAGAGATTTAAAGAAATATCTGAGGCATATGAAGTGCTAAGTGATGGTAAGCTTCAGTTCTTCCTCGATCACTTACTTTCGACTGAAGCTGTGCTTTATATAATTACAAAATTATCAACGATATCGTATTTAATCGTTAAAAATTTCAATCTGAAAAATTTTCTAAATGATAATAATTCTAATTACACTTTTGTCTCTCTGCGGCTTCGATTAATTGACGCTAGCTAGCTTTAGTAATGAAAACAGCGTCGCGATGCCAACGGGAGACGAATGATAGTAACCATTGCTTGTCAGCAAAGCCGAATTTCGCATGAGCCTTCTCTTTCGAGCGGTTTCCAAGTAGTACAACTTATTCTGGGAGTCAACAGTTCAATCTAGAACGTATCGATTCTCCTTTATGAATAGTTGTTTCATAACCAGTATCTGATAGCAAATAAACGAAATTGATTAATGAGAATTAATCGTTGTCCAATAATAATTGAAGTTTGACAGTTTACAGAAGGAAATTTTGACAATTATATACTTATATAATAATTTTTATATACAATAAAATTTTTTAGAAAAAAAATAGGGCTGCGAATAAGCTCCAAAATTCTAATTCTTGAGTTTCTAGAAGTTTTATTTTGTTTTTATGCTTTTATATTTATTATGTTGTGTTTATATTTTTTTATTACATTTAGTAAAAAGATTGATGGAAGTATTATTGAAACTCGAGAATTGAGCCAGGCTTAAACAGAGAGCAACTCTTTAGCCGAAGCATCGCTGCTACAATCGATGAACCGTGTCGTGTCAACAAATGTGGAAGGAAATAAAAAAAAAATTCAATTAGAAATGTTTGTTTCCGGATGATCTCTCGTGACCGTGCTCGATGTCCAGATGCGAAGAGACGAACCTACGACCAACGATTGTATCAGAAGGCATCATCAAGGCCCGGCCGTGGATTCACCTACCGGAGTTTCTTTGACTCTCCTTTCCAGCGATATTTCGGTACCACTTAAGAGAAAAAAGACTTTGAGAGTGATAGACATTTTCCTTCGTTTTCTTTTATTTATTGTTTTTCTTTTTTTCTCTTAATAATTTATTTCGAATTTGGTTTTGATTTTTTTTTCTTTTTTAATCTAAGAAAAAATGTACACATAGAAATATTACTATTTTGAGATTTAGATGCAAAGATTTTATTGGTGAAGAATTCATCAAATCTCAAATACCTAATCCCTTATTTGCCTTAAAAAAATAATTCCTTGCTCAAATTCATAGAATTCATCATTCTGATGAAGTTTTCTGATCAATTTCTTTACGAATCCTTGTGGAAAACTCAAAAGATACTTTTTTCTCTTTGTATGAGTCGCCGTAAACGCAGATAATATTGCCTGCATTTCTAACCATTTTGCCATTGCTCGACTGATTGAAAACATGAAAAAACCAACTTGCAATCAATAATTTTCCTTCATAAAGGCAAATCTTCGAAGAAGCATACTATTCCATTGTATTTAAATCAATTAGAAATAATTTTATATAAAAATTAAAACTTTTTTAAAAACTATTTCAAATTCTTCGAAGATTATCTATATTCCTTTCATTTATCATTATCACTCTCTTCCATTGATTTTGCTCTTGTGGTGGACGATCTCAAATTGATGTTAGACATCATTCAACGTACTCTACTAACCTGGCAAGCCTTTGCAGTACTTGCTTCTTGGAATTTGGAGCAAATAAAACCAAAGCGATCTGCATTCATATATTATTTCATGATTAGTAATAACAACTTTTTGTCTTATTTGCTTTTCAGAAAAGAAAAGGAGGGTTTATGATCAATATGGAAAGGAAGGACTTCAAATGCCTGGTGGCAAGAGGCGACATAAGGAAGACTTTGATCCACACTTTGCTGGCACTTTCATGTTCAGAGATCCTGAAGAAGTATTTAGAGAATTTTTCGGCGGGTCATCTTTTGAAGATTTATTTTCTGGTAAGTTATTTATGTTTCTAGTTAATCTATGTCATACCAATTAGTTTATATATCCTAAGACATATGAAATGTAATCTGAGCATATAAATGAATTTCCATATTAAGAAATTTACCTTGTCCATTGAATGGTAAACATATATTTAAGTAATTAACCGAATGGTAAATATATATTTAAGTAATTAACCGAATGGTAAACATATATTTAAGTAATTAACCAAATAATAAAAAAAATTATTGAAAATAGTTCCTATGATAAAATCACGTGATTAACGATATCCTAATTTTCCTAAAGACCTTGCTGGAGTTGGTGTGCGTCTTGGATCACAAAGGCATAGTCATCCCAGCAGTAACAGCATAAGCACGTCCTTCTTTGGCCCATTAGGAGTTTCTCATTTCGGTTTTTCACCACTCAACGAATTTTTTGAAGGTACATCAGGAAACTTTACTTCATTCAATGCGTTCACAAGTTTCGGTGGAACCAGTGGTGGTGGTGCCGTAAAACGGACAAGTACTTCAACTCGCTTCATCAATGGCAAAAAGATTACTACCAAAAAGTAAGATTGATCGTTAGAACTTTTTAAAAATATTATTATAAAAATTAAATAGACTATATGATTTTATAAAATATTACAAAAAATTGTAATAGAGTGTAATTATATCATTTGAAACAGTCAATAATGTTTTGTGTGTACAATTGTTACAGAGTTTATGAAAATGGAAAGGAAACAATAATGTCATACGAGAATGATGTGCTGAAGTCAAAGACGGTGAACGGCGTGCCACAATCAATAACGTACAGTTAAATCAGTTCTCTTCTCAAGAACGCTCGCTCGATCTCCGCTCGGCAATTGAGAAATTCCTGTCGTCGCGTCACGTTTGCGAGTAATATTTCTGCGCTCTACTAAGATGTTGTGTTCCTGCTACCTAACTACCTGAACGATAATGAACATAAAAATAGAAAGAAAAAAGAGCATAATTGATTTTTTCGACAAGTGACCGCGGCTATTTAACAATATAAAATGTTCTTCTTATTTAGATCATCTATTCATCAACTGACTTCTTCATTTTTCGTTGAAATACTTTGTTAAAGTGCTATTTAAATGATGTAGTAGTGCCGCTGGTCGACGCACTTTTCCACATATTGTACAACAAGAGAACAACAAAATATATGTACAAATATATGTACAAATATTTATCATTTAAAAAAAAAAAAAACAAGAGCAACGAGATTTTCAGAAACAACGATTACTCGACGGAATTCGATGACAGTGATTGGATCTCTAAGCTCGAGCGATCGAGCCCGTTTAAAACATAATGAAAGCAGAAAAATTGCTTAATTTGGATAAACTAACATTTTAAGCAAAACAGCCGCAACGAAATGCTACTTGAGCTTTTGTTCCCGTCACCTTCTCTGTTTTACCAGGTTTGACGAGTCATCGACAAGTCGCCAGCTGACCGACAGTGCCAGCGATATCTCGATGGCTGGCCAGAACTCGAGAACAGTCCATGGTGACCATCAGAAGGCTAGCAGAATAAAGACGCACCATCATCCAGTTCTCACTAAGAAGCACGATAAGAGTAAGAGAAAATAGAGGCAACACTCTTACAACCTTCTCTCATTCGTTTCCTTATTTTTTTAATTTTGGTCTCTTTGTTTTTTTTTTTCGAATCAAACACATATACATATATTACATACGTACGTGTATCATTTACGAAACTGATGTTGTAAATTATGTCTTTTTCCGCAACATCGTTTTTGCTATTGTTTCAATAATCGGAATTAAAAAAAAAAA